GTTGTTTTCCAATAATTTATTTGTTGCTTAGATACACAATTGTAATTATTCATAGTGCAATCAATCGATTCTTCTGGAAGGTCATGTTTTACCTGACCCTGCATGAACAATTGTTGCTTTCACCCACAATGGTACAACCCAAGTTGTGTCTAATCCCATTCCATTAAAGCAGCCATATCTTTTTGAAAATGATTTCATGAGTTGAATTTAGCAACAAATTTAGTTTCTGGGTTAAATAATTTAATGGGAAACAAAACGTGAATCGTACACATTGCTCTTCACTCTGGATAAAATCTAGAGAAGAGGGGTTGTAAATATATTGATAGAGAAGGATTATATTTCAGTTTTATTTATAAAGGAATATATAAAATGACAGAGATAAATTTGCTTGTATCTTTATTTCAAAAACGAGTATAATATTTGCATATTTAAATTATTTGAAAAGTTTTGCTGGTAGTGGAAACAGAGTAAAATAAAGAATAATCACTGTGTATACTTTTACCGGATATGATGTTGCAGGGATAGTCACTGGTAAGATTTTTAAAATTCACTGGTGTATTCTTGCATTAATTAAAATAATTTAGCGCAATTATAAAGTATGAAGTATAAAATAAAACCCAGTAAAAAATTAAACCCTATACTGTATAGGAATAATTTACCGGTAGGTCCGTTTGTCACACTGAGTAACTCATACAGAAACAACATACATAAAAACTATAAGAGAAACAAGTAACCAAGGTAATCTTATCAACTGCTACTTTACCTGCAAATGTCCGCTGAGAATAAATAAGTAGGTTTGGATCGATCAGAAAATGGTGGAGTTTGTGAACCATCTAGTAAAAAAAAAAAAAAAAAAAAAAAAATTAAAAAACACACAATTAAACAATATACATGTATAAGCTATGGACTATTCAAAAGCAGCAGCAACTGAAATTTGAACACATAATTGAATAATTCATTCAAACACACTAGAAAATCACACACAAATTTGTCCATGGTATTATAATGCTGGACATTGTCTTATATACATGTAAATACTGACTGATTTACAAACCGGTGCCATTGATCATATTTGCATACTGGTCATTCCACCATGGTAGACTAGATAACCCTTGCCATTTGTCAATAATATTTAGCTTATCAGCACTTGTATAAACAGTGTGCATACCATTGTCTGAATTATTCATCTGAGAAATTAAAAATACACAACATAGACTAGTAATAACTGATAAGACTTGCATACTAAATACAGTCAGAATAATTCCCCTCCCATCAGGGATTTCTATGCACATTATAATGAGCGTTCCCACAATGATTTTCGCTCATGAAATTATCTCATTGAGGAACCCTAGTTTCGTTGTGAATTTGAACAATCTGTGGAAACTTCTTTCAATTTTGTGCATTTTATATTCAAATACACCTAATTTTATGGTGTTTTATGAGATGAAACAGGTTTATGAAATCAAAACATTTCTCAGCATCATTTGTGCTGGGATGATACAGTCATTCTCCATACTTGTCATTAGTATTCAAGATAAAAGTGAGTTATGAGTAACTTTCACTATTAATAACAGAGGCAAATTTGTATTTTAAAATAACTGTGCACATCGTAGTGTAGCACCTTAAATCAGCGATGTTGCAGAGGTTATAAGTGATGTTTTGATACAAGGGTTAATAAAATAGGTGATAACAAATGACGAGAATAAATAAAATATTATAAGTAAACGAAACTCACCCCTATAAAAATCCCAAACTTATCTGATTTAATAAACCGTTTTTTTGTTAAGTTCATAATAAACTTCAGCATATCATCATCATAACCCCATAAAAGTTCAGCGACTGTTTTCTTCATAAACAGCTCGGCACCAGACACTTTCTCCAGTGCCTCGATCAATGTCTGCAGTAAATCTGGCATGTATCGTGCCATGCTAGCTACACTCTGAAAACAATTAAGAAATACGTCAAATACGTTACAACACTTGCAGAGAGAAACATTAGCCCCGATTCTGTTATGTACCAGGGGTAGTCTTACCGGATATGTTAAATTGAAGTTATATTGAGAGGTGAAATTGCCAAATTATAGTACTTTTGTGATGCAAAAGTCTCTGTCAATGTTTTTCAACATTGAATTTATGTTAGGCATTAAATTATTATTTTTTCTGGTACTTTTCATCTTCTTCTGACAATTTTACAAAAAATAAACAGAATTTTTCTGATAAAACTTAGAGCCAACAATAAGTTAAAAGCAGTTTCTTGTTAATTTGTTTTATATATTTAATTTTAAAATACTAATGAATTTGTACTTATTTTTTTTTATTTCTTTGGCTAAAATATAGAACTTTAAACATATTTCAGTAATTGACAGGACTCTAACTCAATACATTATATGTTCCCATACTGGTGAATGTAATAAAAACAGGACATTGATTTTTTTGTAAATGTGGAATTACTATAATTGACTTACTATTAATGGAATGTTAATTGTTGTCAAAGTCTCGTTATCCCACCCAGATGACATGCTGCGATCAAAGAAGTATGTGACATTCTGAGTATACGAGACTGTCCCATTGTTATTGAAATGGACGTCAATCTTTGGTCGATAACCCCTGAAAGAATGAGTACATGTCATTATATTTAAAGATGCTAATTAAATTTAACATATTCACAGGTTTGATGACATAAATAATTGAATTATAACACAGAATCACTTTGTACACTGTAGGTCGTTGCACTGTGACATCATTTGTTCACAATTCTTTGCCATCTAGCAAGCGAACGTCTGACAAGAATATGAGGTTATTACAAGGATACCGAAAAATATGCACAAAGACAGTACAGCGAGAGTATCACCCAACGCGATGCGACCATGTGCTGTCTGAGTGCATACTTTTTGGTATCCTCATAATAACCTTATTATTATACATCTTTTCCTCCCAAAGATACATCATGGGAATGCCGAAATACGTTTAGAACAGATCGGGCAAACTTCTTTGTATGGGGTCCAGTCAAACTCATGTTTGTCTTTATTATTAGAAGACGCTTACACACATAATCATTCCATATTTGGAATTCGCATTTCCTACCGGTAATATGGTAGTACCGACAGTAGAATGAAAATACCCAGTGCAATACTGCAAAATTACAACATGCTGTAACTTATCGTGTTATGGTGACAGATGTACCGGTATAATACTATTTAATAACAACATTAGCGAACAATGTCATGATTTTTATTTTCAGGTGCAAATCACTACACCAGTTTATTCCAACCAGTCACTATGCAAGCGCATGTGTGCAAACTGAAAACATGAGCGACGATCTAAACAGTCAGAGATCAGCATCCAAAGCTTTAAAGCTAAAACTTATAAGAATCATTTTTTATGAATAAAAGTCTCATGGAATTCATACTGCCCTCAGTGTTCATACTAAAATTCTGTTTTTTATGTTACTGATCAGCATCCATTGGCGTATTCAGCACATATTCAAATGTTTTTCCATGATCAAATGATGCATATACATTCAAGTAGCAATGAGAATTTAAAGATACTAATGGCCCACATCAACAATAATATAAACAACTTTTTTGGAAGCTGTTTATATACCGGTAATACTCTATTACAAGCGTACATGTATAGGAACTCATAAAACAAAATTGCATTTAAATGGATTTTCGAAAAAAATATAAATTTTGGAGACATAAATATGACTTCCTAAGAGCATGATTTTTGTAACATCATGACGGAAACTATCCAACCAGATGTTACCATAGCAACTAAAATTATATATTTGGAACAAGAAAAAAAAAAAGACACTTACTTATAAGTATATGGACCTTTCTGGATAACATAAGGCAACTCTTTACCGTGTTGTACCTCGTAAGAATTAATGATATCATAGACGTAGAACTGCATATATACTGGAGCTTGTGGGTTTTTCCAGCTATTGTACATTGCTGATGTATTGGTTAAAGTCATTTTCTGCAATGAACCCCACAAAAAAAAAATCAGTAAGATTTCTGAATTGTAGTTTCTTATTCAATTTGCATAACATACATGTACATGTTAACAAAAATAAGATATGCACAGAGAAAGGCATATTGTATATGAACAGGGTTTTTTCTAGAAAAAAACTGCTAGAGGTAGTGCTGCAATTCAGCGGTGCCACCAAGAGGGGGAGATAAGTTTCTTCCTACCAGGGTGTGGAGTTTTTGATAATTCTAAGTTAAAATCGAGCATTCTATGACTTCCTTGGGGTCAGAATTACTATCAGACAGGTCACAGTTGAAGACTGTGGCCATGTGTGATCTCTGGTCTATCAGAATTTTATGGTTGCCAGAGGATCTGCTCCCCAGGGTAAGGGGGTGCATGGCCATGGCATGAGGGCGCTGCGCTCCTGTTCCCTTGTTTTAAAAAAATCCCTGTATGAAAACTTTCAACTTTAAATTACTCAATTGTTGTCAAAAAAAGTTGTTGGACATGTTATACAGTTTAGTTCATATTGTATGACATCTGTACATGTCATTTTTGTGAATTCACCCAGGAAGTGAGCGCCCCCCCCCCCAGTGGCCACTTTTCAGTTAAAGTGCCTGTGCAATGCCCACCCTCACGTTTCCCATTTTAGATCTGTGTCCCACTGAAATGGGCAGTTATTGATTTTTTTGCTGAAAATGATTACTCGTATCCAAGTAAATTTGGGATTATTCTCGTGTTGTAGCCATGCCCACCTATCCTCAAACGGTTGACTGTTTCCGGATTTCCGACTCTCGCCGAAAGTGCGCCACCAAATGCCAAAATGTGAGAGGAAGTCATACCCCTGAGCCGTAATAACACTGGTCATTCAGTATACTTTTAAACGATATACATTTTTCGGTCGGCGTTTTTTTTTTTTCTACTTTTTTTGTCTATTTTATTTTTTTTTGAGAGAGTTTTTAGATGTTGTGTCGTGGGCAGCTGCAGTGAAACGTATAGTCACAGTGTAAGTATTCACACGTTTCTAATCGATCCGAAGGTGCGACATCAGTGGAAGAAAGCCACTTAACCTCAGATTCCTTATTTTGTGGAAAAACTGTTCTCGTCCATGAAAAAAACAACTAGGTTTAAAGAGAAACGCCGACAACATAAACCTGGCGCAACACTTTTGAAAGAAATAGATTCCAGACCATGATCACCGAGGCGGATTTCAGAAGAGAGAGAGACGTCCGGCAAGTGTTTCAAATGAGTTGACTTTTTTGCGATCCTGATTATCGTTTTATAGAGACCATTTAGTCCCTGTTAAGTAAAAGGTAGCAATAATTTTGACAGTGACACGAAAACGGAGCGTCGACAAACAGGAAAATACACAGCCCTTACACACTGCTAATTGTTTTCATTTTCGAAGGCTAAAAGTTTCTGAATTGTTTGGTGGTTTGTGTTGAATGTCGAATTCACACCTCTGTTCTTTTTTTACCTCCATGCTTGCAGCTTAATCTGCGCACAGTCCCTCTATCATAGTGATAGAAGGACTGTGATCTGCGTAATAATTTATAAAATAAGAATCCGGGCTTGGTCAATGTGTTTCCACCAAATAAAGTTTTAATATGATGTTATAATTATGACAATCAAGCCATGGATCACGCTAACTCGAATCCACTCTGAATTTATCTGTATGTGTGTCAATCTTGATTATTTTTGTTATCCACTTAAACGCCGCTTTTAACGCACTTGCCCTCGTCGTGACCCGACGCGTTCACCTATTTCAACAAAATTTCAATTTATTTCCACGCGGCTGTCATTTATTTAGTAACTGTGATTTGTCGTTTTTTTAATTTTTTTATAGTGATCATTATAGTCTAATGTTTAGAATGTCAAAATATGTTCTCTTTTATTTTAATTTTGAAAGTTTTACTCAGACGATCGATGAAATAAAACAGTGTAGTGACGTGCCTAGTAACCTGCTAAATAACGAGATAATTCCGACGTCAAATTCTATTTTGTCCAGCGCAGTGTACAAACGTGCGCCGGTAACTGTGACGACCACGGTGACCAGCTACACCAGAACGGACATATTTAGTATCTAACTCAACCCCATGCACCAAAAATTGTTGTTATCAATGGATAATTTTAGGCGTGAAAATAGCAGCCATTTCACAGGCACTTTAAGGTAAATCTAGCCTAAATGTTGACAGGAATGTTTAAACACCTCTAAGTTGTCAAATGACAGGCAATCACAGGTTTATTTATTTAT